TGTGTGTGTGTGTGTGCGCGCTCAGGCTCCTGCGGCTCGCAGTCACATGACACCCAGTCCGGCTCCGCCCCCTCACATCCTGTACAACCCCACCCAACACCTGATCACCTACACCGGCTTCTGCCCCTCCGGACAAACTCTACCCGCCTACCCAAACTACCCGCTGCCCATGCAGGTGAGGACCACTAACCAACTAACCTCTGTCAGCAGGACGGTACTCATGACAGTCAGATGATCAGGACACCAACAGGACTGAATATTACTATAGAAAATGTTTTTTCTATTATGACGTTTAAATGTCAGTCATGTTTTGTTCCATTAAGAGATTTAAATATCGGTAGTGTTGTTCTATTAAGTAATTTAAATATCGGTCGGTTTTGTTTTATTAAGAAATTTAAACATTGGTCGGTTTTGTTCTTGTAACAGATTTAAATATCAGCTGGATTTGTTCTGTTAAAAGATTAAAATATCAGTCAGTTTTGTTGTAGAAACAGATTTAAATATCAGTTGGCTAGTTTTGTTCTATTAAAAGATTTAAATATCGGTAGGTTTTGTTTTATAAGGTTTAAATATCAGTTGGTTTTGTTTTAGAAACAGAGATTTCAATTTCGTTCAGTTTTGTTCCATTAAATGATTTAAATATCGGTTGGTTTTGTTCTATTAAGAAATTTAAATATCTGTCAGTTTGTTCTAATTACAGAATTAAATATCGGTCTGTTTTGTTCTATTAAGAGATTTAAACCTCGGGTCAGTTTTGTTCTGTTAAAAGATTTAAATATCGGTTGGTTTTGTTCTATTACGTGATTTAAATGTCATTTTTGTTCTATTAATAGGTTTAAATATCAGTCAGTTTTGTTTTAGAAACAGATTTCAATTTCGTTCAGTTTTGTTCCGTTAAAAGATTTAAATATCGGTTGATTTTGTTCTATTAAGTTATTTAAATATGTCGGTTTTGTTCTATTAATAGGTTTAAATATCAGTCAGTTTTGTTCTATTAAAAGATTTAAATATCGGTAGGTTTTGTTCTAGAAACAGATTTAAACATAGGGTCCGTTTTGTTTTATAAGGTTTAAATATCAGTTGGTTTGTTCTATTAAAAGGTTTAAATATCAGTCAGTTTTGTTCTATTAAAAGATTTAAATATCGGTAGGTTTTGTTCTAGAAACAGACTTGAATATCGAGTCCGTTTTGTTTTATAAGGTTTAAACATCAATCAGTTTTGTTCTATTTAAAGGTTTAAATATCAGTTGGTTTTAGTTCTATTAAAACGTTTAAATATCGGTCAGTTTTGTTCTATTAAGAGATTTAAATGTTGTTGGTTTTGTAAGCATGGCTTTAAATTCAATTCAAGTAACATCTATGATTTCAGGCAGAATTACCATATCATGATGTCTGTGGTTGAAAGTGACTTTTGTCATGGTATAGATTTTAACAAGCAGCTGCTTAAAAAGTCTGCACATGTGCTTTAATCTCATTTCTGATGTTCATTTTTTATTCTTCATCCTCGTTCTCCAGCATCTGAGCGGTTATCCAGCTCCGGCTGCAGGTCAGTCCATCCCCGAGGTCACGACCTCCCCGTCTGACGAGACTCAAGCAGCGTCTCAGAGCGGGACGAATCCAGTCGTACCGACTCAATCCACATCTCAGGACAGCAGCGGCTACATGCTGACTCCAAACGCTCCCTCGCTCTACGCTCACTCATTAGGGCCCTTCGAGAAGCCTCCACCTTACGCCTGCTGAAAGCACCACCCGAGCCAGGAACCCTGCCCTCTGACAGGCGTCTGACCCCTGTGACCTCCACCGCCGCCGCTGCTAATGACCTCAGAAAGAGTCTATGTAATCGTCACTTATTCTTGTAGCAAATGTGATCGATGTTGTTCGTCGTCTGGTAGTTTCCAAAACCTCTGAACTTTGGCTTTTTAATGTCCTCTTTCTTTTGGTGGGATCTTCATAGTTTGATTCATTGAATCATATAAGGCTGAAACACTCAATGCAAAGCTCAAGAACGTGTCCCATCCTCAGCTTCAGCTTCACAGATCACTGTAGCTGCTTTAGTCTTCTGCGGTCAGATCAACTACTGTCACAGTGAAGCGTGAGTCTGAGGAGAATCCTGCTGAGAATGTATTCAGATTCCTGAATAACACATGTGGTTTAATAACAAGACGTGTGACTCTATCAGCCCTGGTGTAATACAACAACGCACACAATGAAAAATCTTCCTAAATGCCACTTTCTTCTTTAATAACAAAACAGAATGTTTTAAGTTAAGAATATTTTTGTTGCATCACTGTGAAAACCACCTTTTGGCACATTTTTAAGAGTGAAAGTTCTCTTTAGAATTCATATTCTTGATAAATGTTCTTAAAAATCATTGTGATGATAACCGTCAGCTTGTCATAAATGTTTAATAAATGTATTGGGTATTTTAAAAAAAATAACACTAATCGGTAGGTTTTGTTCTAGAAACAGACTTGAATATCGAGTCCGTTTTGTTTTATAAGGTTTAAACATCAATCAGTTTTGTTCTATTTAAAGGTTTAAATATCAGTTGGTTTTAGTTCTATTAAAACGTTTAAATATCGGTCAGTTTTGTTCTATTAAGAGATTTAAATGTTGTTGGTTTTGTAAGCATGGCTTTAAATTCAATTCAAGTAACATCTATGATTTCAGGCAGAATTACCATATCATGATGTCTGTGGTTGAAAGTGACTTTTGTCATGGTATAGATTTGAACAAGCAGCTGCTTAAAAAGTCTGCACATGTGCTTTAATCTAATTTCTGATGTTCATTTTTTATTCTTCATCCTCGTTCTCCAGCATCTGAGCGGTTATCCAGCTCCGGCTGCAGGTCAGTCCATCCCCGAGGTCACGACCTCCCCGTCTGACGAGACTCAAGCAGCGTCTCAGAGCGGGACGAATCCAGTCGTACCGACTCAATCCACATCTCAGGACAGCAGCGGCTACATGCTGACTCCAAACGCTCCCTCGCTCTACGCTCACTCATTAGGGCCCTTCGAGAAGCCTCCACCTTACGCCTGCTGAAAGCACCACCCGAGCCAGGAACCCTGACCTCTGACAGGCGTCTGACCCCTGTGACCTCCACCGCCGCCGCTGCTAATGACCTCAGAAAGAGTCTATGTAATCGTCACTTATTCTTGTAGCAAATGTGATCGATGTTGTTCGTCGTCTGGTAGTTTCCAAAACCTCTGAACTTTGGCTTTTTAATGTCCTCTTTCTTTTGGTGGGATCTTCATAGTTTGATTCATTGAATCATATAAGGCTGAAACACTCAATGCAAAGCTCAAGAACGTGTCCCATCCTCAGCTTCAGCTTCACAGATCACTGTAGCTGCTTTAGTCTTCTGCGGTCAGATCAACTACTGTCACAGTGAAGCGTGAGTCTGAGGAGAATCCTGCTGAGAATGTATTCAGATTCCTGAATAACACATGTGGTTTAATAACAAGACGTGTGACTCTATCAGCCCTGGTGTAATACAACAACGCACACAATGAAAAATCTTCCTAAATGCCACTTTCTTCTTTAATAACAAAACAGAATGTTTTAAGTTAAGAATATTTTTGTTGCATCACTGTGAAAACCACCTTTTGGCACATTTTTAAGAGTGAAAGTTCTCTTTAGAATTCATATTCTTGATAAATGTTCTTAAAAATCATTGTGATGATAACCGTCAGCTTGTCATAAATGTTTAATAAATGTATTGGGTATTTTAAAAAAAATAACACTAACTACATATTCATGACTACTGCCGGATTTTACTTTCATAATCTAGCAAGTAAATCCTCCTGATATGATTAACACAGCTTTTACATTTATATTAAAAATAATACATGAAACGCTTGCTGCTTAAAGAGTTAATAGACAAATGCATGGTTAAGATTTATCAGTGAAGTTTTAAATTTGTTGTTAAACAAGGCAACAATATAGCATCTCAAAGAAAAATATGATGTTCTTAACCCTTTCATGCTCATGCACAGACAATCAGTTTGAATTAAAGGCTTTTTTTTTTTAAAGCCTTAAAAAGCACAACAGAAAGGCTTCAGCTTAATCATGAACTTCTCAGTTAAACTCAGAATCATTTTTTATTTATCTGCCAGTTCAATATTTTATTGCTACATTAATTTTTAATTTGCTTTGTGGTGCATTTACTAAATGCTTGAACTTAGATCTAAAAATGCAATGAACAAACGTCCCCTAGATTTAGAAATATCTCTGAATAAGAACGAACCATATTCCCATGTGACTGTGTTTTTGGTATTTGCATTGTCCAGCGTTTTCTGTTTATTCACGCAAAGTGTTTACTGCACAAGACCATCACTTTTCACCTAATAAAATTAATTTCATTATTTTAAAGTAATTTTACCTTCAATAAAACCCTGAAAAAAATCCTTTCACAAAATAGAAATAATTCTGTTTTAAACCGCAAAACTAGAAATGATAAAGGAACAGGTGGTTCTGAAAGAGTTTGCACTTAACATTGTTTAAAATATGCAAATGTGGCATAACCTACTTAAATATGCACTCGTTTGTGTTCATTTCCAGAACATTGATCTGAACATTGGATAAAGCTACATTCCAAAGTCTTGTTTGATTTTATTGCCATATTAAAGGTTTTTCCAGTGAGGATTTTGTATTTCTCTTTTTATCGCTCCATAAATCAGAAAATACTGTCAACAGACAAAAAAACGAACACATTTTCACCATGTTTTTAGGAGGAAAATGTATGAAATATGAACAAACCTTCAGAATAAAGAGAGGAAAAAAGTTTGGCGTAAGAGAAAAAACTCTTAAAGCTTGAAATGGATGAAGTGCAATAAAATAAACACTTAAATGTGTGTTTTGAATGTTTTCTTTTCACCAGTCTGAAAGAAGAGACATTATATGGGAGCAAAACAGACCAAAATCTCAAATTTGATCAGTGCATGAAAAACACTAGTTTCACGTACATTTTTTTTTGTGTGTGAATTAATTGTTTGTGTGCTTGTGTCTCGAAACTACCAGTGTACAGTGACACTCATCAGGTTAGTTGGTTTTGTTTCCGAGCCGCTGAACATCTTAAAAGGACAGAATTCATCATCATAACAACACCGTCCGCCTTTATTCGTTTTCTTCAAGCATTTCAGTCTCGCAAACATGAACAAAATACAAAACAACTTCAACAAGATGAAAAGGACGAACTCAAATGAGGGACTAAAAAAAAAACTGTTCCAACTCAAACTACTGAATGATGATGATGATGATGAAGTTGAGCACCTACATCGAGGCCTGAAGGCCTTTAATGGTAGTTGGGTGTTTTTAGTCATCCTCCTCTAAAGCATTTTACAGTGGCATATGTACAGTTACAGTATTTTACAGCACACTCTCAGTAGCTTGTGTTTGATTGGTCTAATGTGAGGAATACATCGATACTGTGCTATATGTGCGTGAGTGTGGCGAGGGATCCGGCTTTACTAAGGCCTTTGAAGATCCGTTGACTGGATCCGGATTAAAGCTCCTCCTGTGCTGGAGTCTGCGCTGCGGTTATTGCTGCGTGTCCACCAGAGGGCAGGAGTGAGAGCGGATGTCGTTGTGTTTGTGTTGGGCCTCGTCCACGTCCAGCAGATGACCGTTGACCCGCACATCCATGCAGCCCGTGTAGAAGGCCGACACCGGAGCGGACACCAGAGAAACATCTGCACAAACAAACAACATCAGAACCCTCTGGAGATTCACATTTCAAGATCATTTGCCTCGAAGTCTGTTGTATTTGTCAGAAAATAAGCCGCGTCCCACTAAAAGTCTCACCAGGTCAGAATTGTATTGTTCATTACGGACGAGGATTAGGGCTAAGCAATAATAAAAAAAATAAAACCATCTCGAGATTAAAGTCGTTAAATTTCGAGAAAAAAGTCGAGTGTGTTAATTCTCAACTTTTTTCTCGTAATTTAATGAGTTTATTCTCAACATTTTATTTAGACTTTTTTCTCAAAATTTAACGAGTTTTTTTCTTGAAATTTAACGACTTTTTTCTCGTAATTTAATGATTTTATTCTCAACATTTTATTTAGACTTTTTCCTCGAAAATTAACGAGTTTTTTTTCTTGAAATTTAACAACTTTTTTCTCGTAATTTAGAGTTTATTCTCAACATTTTATCTCTACTTTTTTTCCTCGCAATTTAACAACTTTTTTCTCGTAATTTAAAGAGTTCATTCTTAACATTTTATCTCGACTTTTTTCTCAAAATTGAATGAGATTATTCTTAACATTTTATTTAGACTTTTTCCTCGAAATTTAACAAGTTTTTTTCTTGAAATTTAACGACTTTTTTCTCGTAATTTAACGAGTTTATTCTCAACATTTTATCTCTACTTTTTTTCTCGCAATTTAACGACTTTTCTCGTAATTTAACGAGTTTATTCTCAACATTTTATCTCTACTTTTTTTCTCGCAATTTAACGACTTTTCTCGTAATTTAACGAGTTTATTCTCAACATTTTATCTCTACTTTTTTTCTCGCAATTTAACAACATTTTTCTCGTAATTTAATGAGTTTATTTTCAACATTTTATTTAGACTTTTTTCTCAAAATCTAGTGTTTTTTTCTCGAAATTTAACTACTTTTTTCTCGTAATTTAATTGAGTTTATTCTCAACATTTTATCTCGACTTTTTTTTCTCGCAATTTAACAACTTTTTTCTCGTAAATTAATGAATTTATTCTCAACATTTTATTTCGACTTTTTTTCTCGAAACATAATGACTTTATTCTCTAAATTTAACGAGTTTAATCTCAACATTTTATCTCAACTTTTTTCTTGCAATTTAAAGAGTTTTTTTCTCTAAATTTAACGACTTTAATCTCGAGATGGTTTTAATTTTTTATTATTGCTTGGCCCTAAGCCTCTTTCGTAGTTCATAGAAAAGTTGCAAGTGTCACATTTTATTATTACATTCAGAAAAAAATACTGGTAAAAATTCACAAACAAATATTATGAGCATTGGTGTATTTTCAGTGTATTTTAGTTCACTCCAAAATGAATCCTTTAAATTTCACAGTATTCAGTATAGTAAACTTAAGAATACTATACTATGTTTTTTTTTAAAAGACAAAAAAAAACGTGCCCCTTTTAGACTTGCACTCTATTCATTCTATTCTTAAAAAAAAAAAACTAACACTAGCTTCTCTATTCTTTTTCTATTCTATCTGTTTTCTTTTTATTTATTATATAATTTAAAAAACTCTTGCTATGTGTATTGCGTTAGGCTAACTGAGACTTGTTATAGCACTTGCATATCATTGCTCTCTTGTTGTATTTATTTTATTTTTAATTTTTTGCCACATGTCATGGGCGGAGCTCGGGAGGGGCTAACAGGTGAAAACCAAAGCAACCCCCATATATACATATATATATATATATATATTAAAAAAAAAGATGAAATAAAAACATTTGACTCACATGGATAACGTGTGCAATGCAATACAACATGAAGTGATTTGCAGTCGCACATTTCGTAATGTCATAGCATTTTATTTTATAAATGGATCGGTTCCTTGTGCCAAGCAAGCCTGTCCCCGACTAAAGATTTATTTCTAGTCAACTAGTCGCATGTTTATATTAAATTGATGAATATAATAACCTACTAAACCATTCTTTAATATAATAGGCATTGAGTGAGACTAAAGTGAAACTAATGTGGGATGGATGTGAGGCTGGATTAAATGATGTGAGACTGAAGTAAGTCTGAAAGTGAGAATGAAGTGAGACTGCTGTGGGATGGATGTGTGGCCGGTGTAAGTGATGTGAGATCAATATGAGACCTAACTGAGACTTAAGTGAGATGGCAGTGAGACTGGTGTAAGTGATGTGAGACATTACCTGGAATCCCTCCTATAAAGGTGCTGTAAGAAGACGTCAGATCCAGAGCGTCTGCGTTCTCCATCATCTCCATCTGCGCGAGCTGCCCATCCACCTCCAGCAGAGAGCTGTTCCCGAACACCATCACGTTCACAGTGTGTGTTTGAGCGTCACACAGGTTCACCGGGACACTGGCCACCACCACGTCACCGAACGACACCAGCACGTGCTGCGGGTCACAGGTCAACAGACAAAATTAGCTATTGGAACACTAGTATTCTCAGCAGCTAAAAAATTGTTTTAAGTCAGTTATTTCTATCTTTTGCTGTAGTGTGTCAGTAGGAAATATCAGATTGCATTTCCAAACATTCATTTAGCCATTAATTGTAATAATGCAGTGAGATATATGTTAGTGCTGCACACAGAGATGTGATCTGATCATCATCAGTCTGTCTGGAGTCACATGAAGAAACAGAACAAACTGAGACAGACTCAATCCAGAA